TCGCAGGCGCCTCCGAGGTGGAGCCTCGTCCTGAGCGCGGCCGCCTCCCCTCCCCTCCCTTCCCCAGCGCAGAGACGGCCGCGCGGGGCTGCCGAAGGCTCGGCGGAGGCGCTGCGACGCGGCTCCAGGCGCACCTCCGAGGTAGGGCGAGAGGAACCCTGAGCGAGCTGATGGGGCGCTTAATAAAAGGCACGGGAAGGATGCTCCTCTCGCTACTAGCGGTGCTTCTTCCCTTTCAGGTCAGGCAGAAACTCAACAGGTGCAGCATCCCCAACAGGTGTTCTTGGCAATGAGGGAAGAAAGGGGACATGCTCTGGTGGGTGACGGGGATTGACACCCCTAACACCCTGAAGTTCAGGGTAGCCTTCCCGCGTTGGAGAAGGAGCCAGGCAAAATGATTTATGTTGAGGGAGTTGTGGGAATGTATACAACTGGGGTTTATTCAAGTCGTGAGGGAAGCAGAGAAATGACGGTTGCCCGTTGCAGAGGAGGAAGCAAAAGATCTTCCTCGGCTTGTACTCTCCCCATTCTTGCGGGGGTGAGTCCTGGGTGATGGTATGATAACCAAAAGTAGTTTATGAACAAGATTGTTTAGAAGGAGGTGGCTGGCAGTCCAGTGGTGGACTGAGTTTGTCAGCTGCTGCTAGTGGCAGAGTTAAGCACCGTCTGGACGAAAGCCACCACCAAGGATCCTGGTTAGGGCTGCAACAATCCAGGTGACCACCAGCTGCCAGCCCTGATGTGGTAGCCCTCCTTCAAAATTTGGAGCCAAAAAGTGCGCTCCCCAGTCTTCTGAAACAGTTGGAAAAGAGGCCCATCCAATGTTGCTGAATTATATCTCCCAGCCCCTGGTCAAATTGGTTGAGGGTTTGTAGTTCATCAGGTGGGAGACTACAGATTCCCCAGTGTTTATCTTTCTCTTATAACTTCCTCTTTCACAAGTTCCACCTCCATTGGGGTTGACTTCCTACAATACTCAATGTAAAATGGGTCTCGGTGGTCTGTGATTCAGCATGTTATGGGAACTCGGTCATTATTTTACTGCTAAAATGAATCAAGCCATCATAGTTTATTTTGGGGGCATAGTCATTGTGTTTTGTTAGGCCAAGTTTAGGGTGCTGGGCTACCTAATCATGTTATTGCTATTAAACGTTTGTTCAGAAATAAACCCTAACCCTATAAAACGTACTTCAGTGTCTGTGTTCATAGAGTTGCAGCCTTAAGATAGAAAAATTGTCTGTCATCACTTTTAATCAGCAATAGATCATGTAGAATTAATGAATAAAGAGTGGAGATGGTGTATCCTTGCTTCTTCCCCAAATTCACATAGGATAAGACGAGATCTTAAGTACAGTACATGTCTCAAATATGGCACTAGAGATGTAAATAAGATCAGACCAATGTAAGAGACGTGTAAATGAGCAGATGTATCCCTACTGTTATGAAACATTCCTCTAAGGCCTAATGTGATTTGTTTGGCTTGTGTAATCTATGGCTTATTGATCAAACTATGGTTTAGCACTGTGTGTAAACTCAGCCTGTGCTTGTTAATCTGGGAGAATGAGCCTTGATTCTGTATTCTGCTTTACATGTTAAGCTTTTGTGCTTGACCCAATAAGAAAAAGTAAAGCTCGAATTCTAAATCTGATTGGTGGCATGGAACTTGGATAATAACAGTTAATTAGTAATATATGGCAAGTGATGGTGCATCATTAGTCTGGTTTCTCAAAAGCCACAGCCAAGCAAACTCTCAGCAGGTTAAGAAAACTGCTATAGACATAAGGCATAGTGCCGAAGTGCATCTTCAAAGAATCTCAGTTAGTTAGTTCTTCTTGACTCACTTGCACCATCCATTCACACACAAAATCAAGGTGATTAAAGAATGGTGTAAGATGTGAGAATGGTGTACTTTTCCCCATTCATGGGGGAGAGATTGATCCTTGGGAATATGGAGGCAAGTGAAGTTTTTGCTCCACATCTCCTCACCTGATACATATTATCTACCCACTGGTAGGACTGCTGGGAATTCATGCCCATCTTCCAGAGTATAGACATAGCTGCTATGACCCGTATGTTGTTCCACCTGACAAAGGAAACCTTCAACAGTGTCACGAACTCCCACTACTCGGGGCCTTGGAGCAACATCTTTAATTTGCAAACTAGTGATACTAGTTCCTTCCCTGAACTAGGGGACATGCTCTGGGATGCAAAAGGACTGATTGATTGTCATCAAGTTAGTGTCAAAACGTAGTGACCGTATAGATTTCCTCCAGGAGGATCTGGAGAATCTCTAGGATCTGTAGGACCAGAGTGGTCCTACCCATTTTCAAACGGTTGAATGGGCTTTCTAATCTGCTTTAAGCAAATATGCATTCCTGGACTTCCTTCAAGTAAGGACTTAATAAGGTTAATCTCCAGGAAACATTTGCCTGATAACCCTGCTTGAACGCTGTACAGATTGGCAGCCCTCGTTTTGGACTGCTTTATTACAGATGTAAGATTTATGTGTGCGGGTGTGGATGAAGGATATTGGGCACTACCCTGTGTTGAGGAAGCATTGTGATAGAAGCTTGTTTGATTACAGCCAAGGATTGGTACCTCGCTCACGCTCCCCGCTGACCCCCCTTTCCTTCCCCTTCAACCATTCATCTGAGTTGTCTGAGCAAACTTCAAAGAGAGAGCCAGCAGGATGGACTGAAGGCAGGGCCACTTTTCTTTGAAGAAAGGCATGGAGGAGGAGAAAGGGTTTTCTGGATGTTGTTCCGCACAGAGGAAAGTCAGGACCGGCCTGTAGGATGATCATACGCAAGCAAAGGAGGATGGCGCTTCGGTTCCTGTTTGTAGTTTTGCCAAAAAAGGAACACTGGTAGGCACAGCTTGCACCAGCCTGCATGAAAAGCTGTGGGTACCAGCCTTCTTCCTTAACTCACTTGTCAAAGCTGGAGTCTTCCTTTGCACTGGTTGAGAAGGTATATTGTGCAGAGAACAATGCTCAGGGGTATGTCGCCTATTTTTTATGCAGAAAAACTGCTGCAGTTAAGGGCATGGTGAAACCGGGGGTGGGAAAACCTCTGCTTTGCAGCTGTGTCAGTGCTCAGGGGCTGTCCCCAAGATGGAAAAATGAATAACTGACTTTTTGGATTTTGAAAGGCTTAGGGCTGACCCTTTCCTGCATTTTAGTTCTGTTGACTCGATTACAAGGCTTGACTGTTTTCTGGGAAAGCGACAGTTTCATACATTGCATTAAACTGGGGCTTTTAAATCTGGGCTGCGGAAATTGGGGCAGCACAGAAATTTAGAATAGTTTTGTTGCTGTCTAGTGGTTCCCTGCGTTTTTGCAGCCTAAATTTTCTCAGTCTATGTTGAACCAGGAGTAGGAAACCATTTTATAGCTGGGGCCTTCACTATCCTATTTTAAAATTTGGAGGGGACTCCAATAGCAGCAGAGTGTGTGAATGTTATGATCATAGTGTATTTTCCATATATTATATTTGTTTTTTGTTCTCTGTACATCACCTGGACAGATTTTTGATAATGATGGGCATCAAGAAGTCTATGTAACCATAAATGAGACTAAATTGTACTCGTTACATTTTTTAATGTGATTAATTGCTCAGAAAAAAAGCACAAGTAGAATTATCCTAAAACGTTTCAGGAGAGAACTTGAGTGACTTTGCTGGCACAAAGACTTTTACTATAGTGATTTGATTGGAATAACAAGCAGGCTGACATGGATCACCTCTTGCTACTAACTCAGTATTTCTTCCCCCAGGGAGTCAATGAAGGAACACTTCCTTTAATGTTGGCAAATTACTGAGACCACAATGAAATTAGTGAAGCGTGACAAGATTAAAGTAATTTTGCCTTCATTATAAGTAAACCGTTGATTATATACAACACATCCATTCTTTGAATTTATTTTGTGAAAATAAGTCCCTGCTTTACAATATTTGCATCCATAATTATTTTACAATGAACTTATTTTTCAAAATTAATGACAGCTGATGGTTTGCTCCTGTCATTTAGAGACTACTCTGTTCTAAACACTTAGCCATACCTTTATAAAAGGTGCATATTTTTAAATGTATGTGCTTATAACACACCCACACACCCATGTATGTTTAGACAGTAACATGAGGCCTTGGAAAACTGGGATATTTTTTTTTTAATGATTCTCTCTCCCCATATTTTGGGAATGCTTCTGGAAATCAACTCTGAAATATTTTCATTTCTGGAATAAAAGAAATACTTTTTAAGACTAAGCTTGCTTAGTGCCATGGATTCCATTGAGATAAAGCGCATTGGAAAGCATGCAGTGCAAATGTACTGCCTGTTTGTGATTTATTAAAGCAGCCGTGTCTTTTTCCAGGATGAGATGACTGTGCGAGGAGGCTTTCATTCCAACTGTGCAGTTCTGAAAGCAGTTGCTTTCATAAGTCACACACTAGGGCTGTGTTCATCCCCTCACTTGTTCCAAAATACGCCCTGTGAAAATGTGATGTGAGACAACCTACAATAAAAAGTGGTCATTTCGATATATAGGTGTGCAGAAAAGGGATTTGCAAACACTGTCTTGGTGCTTCAGATGCAGCCTGCTTAACTTGTCTTGGAATTCCTTCCCAGTTCCAGCGCTTGATAAAGAAAAAAGGGCTATATTCTTTAGGGGAGAATTCTCCTTGTATCACTAAGAAGTTCTGTCCTTTCAAGGGTGTGTTTCTGCTTTCTCTTCTATAACTAAAAAGTGATTGGGACCCAGAATTTATGTAGAGGAACTTTGTACAGAAAGGCTGAAGTCTGAAACATCTATCTAGCAGAATGAGGAGTTTCTAGAACTATAATTGGGTCTCATTGGATATAGGTTGTACAAGTGACTCTTCTAAAGCTTGCCAGCATCCTTGTTTGGCATTCCCCACTTTTGGAAATAGGATGCTTGCTGTTAGAGTCAAAACTGTTATGCAGTTGCCCAACTGGCAACTACACAAAAAGAGAAGAACTTTCAGTTTGTACATGTCATAAATACTGTGAATCATCTTTTTTTTTTTTTTTAAAGTTAATGAGTAGAAAACCCCTGTTTTCACTGCTTATTTTTCCAAGCTCTGGCCTCCTCTATACATGGAAGTGTGTGGGAATGCTAAAGAGAAAGCAGGCTTCAACTGCAAGTATTTTTTAATATTATGATTGCACATTGCTGTAGTCATGAGATAATGGAAAGGATCCAGGGAGTTATTTTCTTGCTTTATTAAATAATGGAACAAAGCTAACTGCATTGACCTTAAACGACTTTGCCTCAATTTTTGCTTCACTGCTGAGTGTCTTCCAAACACCCTGCCTTGATTAGTTTCTGGAAACAGATTAGGAAGCAGCACTGTTTGTTTTGTCCTGCTTTAACTTCTGTACTATGGAAGCAATGTGTGTGTGTGTGTGTGTGTGTGTGAACTAAGAGATTTCTGTATCATAGTTAATTACTGCTTCGCATCCTTAGGCCTTGTTTGGGCCATCTAGTTTACTGATGATATCTCAATGAACTTTGAGGTGAGCCATTCTTTATTTATTTATTGTTATTATCCTTGTTTGACTTTTCAGTGTAGTTTGTCCAAAGATTGGCAAAATTTAAGGGGTACAGGCCATTCTTCTTGTTGTCCTAATTTCCTGCAGGGTTTAAAAGTTGTGCTGAAGTAACTCAGCCTTCCTTGAGCCTGATGTTGTTTGGCTGGGAATTTTTAGAGGTGTAGTCCAAACATAGCTAGAGGGCACCAGGCTAGGAGAAGGCCAGGGGAACTTTGTTGTTGTTGTTCAGTTGTTAAGTCATGTCCGACTCTTCATGACCCCATGAACCATA